CACGGGTGTCGCGCTCGCCGACAACGTGCCGGGCGGTGTCCGCTTCATCGTCGCCACCTACTGCGCCGTCGAGATTGCCGACATCGGTAACGAGGGCGCCACGTATGGTCTCGTCACGACGATCTCGAACCTCGCGTCGCCGTTTGCGTCGGTTCTCTACAAGTACATTGACTCGTACTTCAAGGTCTCGGTCGACGACATCAAGTCGGACACGGACGACATCCGGTGGGAGGTCGCGTACTGCTACATCATCTCGTACAGCTGCAAGATCGGTGCGCTCTTCTGGCTCTGGATGCTGCCGCCGCAGAAGGCCGCCATGCAGGAGCTCAAGAAGCGCGGCGGCTCGAGCAAGCTCGCGGGCATCATCTTGATCGTCATGTTCTTTGGTGCGCTCTCGTTCTCGTTGACGAGCAACATCATGGCCATCTTCCCGTCGACCAAGTGCTACCGCATCGCCGGCGGCAAGGGCACGGTCAACGGCACGTGCCCCGTCAAGAAGTAAACCAAAGACGCAGAAAGCAACGCTGCGCGTGTGTCTAGTGTCGTTCCTAAATATCACGAAGTGCCCTTGTGGTAATTCCGTTTTAGTTTTGCGTGTGTGACGTCGACCGACTGGTGACAATATTCTCCATACAAACGGCGAAAATACATAAATGAGCTCAACAACTGTACTAGTACTCGGGAGCGCCCTGTACCAATTTGCAGTCTTGACGTCAAGACGTACAGTGATTGTGCCAGTCTTGGCTTGTAGCGTGCCAGGTCGACAGGTCGCACCACGGTGGACTTGTGGAACGCGTTCGAGTGGTATTGATGGACACATGGACATCTTTCGACTAGCACTTTATCACTGTACACGCACAGACAATGGACTGACGATTCGAGCCGACTACGCGACGCTCATCAAGGCATAGCGATAGCGGTATTTCGACGTCAACGGACGCCACGCGACTCGCATGCTGCTTGAGCACTAGACCCGTGAAAGTAGAACAGTCCTTGCATGTTTTAAATCCAGCAAACGCGGGTTTTCACAAGCACAATATCGTCTAAACACTCACGAAACTACGATGTTGCTTTGGCCAAAAATGTCAGCTCAATGAAAATCCAAAAGAAAAATCCATGATTCGTTCAACAAACAATTACACTTATGGACCTCCCAACACCATCCTTTGACTTTGACCCGAGCGCTGTTTTAGTCATCACGCCGTCCTAGTCGCTCGCGCACTCGGCCCCCGCATCGGGGATGGGCGACGGAAGACCGGCCGAGAGATCAACGAGCGTCCGCACTCCATTGATGCGCTGGAGCATGAACGCGTCAAGGACCGTGCCGTTGGCGTTGGCCACCCATGTCACGTTGAGCGTATCGCGCGTCGCAATGGCCTTGTTGACGCCGTAAATCTCGGCAATCATCTTGGTCGACCACGGTGACGACGACGGGAGGGGCTTGCACACATAGTCGCGGCCACCGGCGCCCGTCGAGAGGTACACCACGCCGTTTTTCGAGTCGATTTTGTTCTGGACGATCGGCGCCGTGCGCTCGTACGCGTGCACATGGCCCGCAATCACCATGTCGACGCCATGATGCACGTACAAATCTTCAAACTTGGCCTGGTTGGCGCAGTGCGGCTCCTTGAGAAGCGTCCCGGAGCTCGTCGCATCGTACTTGCCCGCCCAGCACTTGTCGGCGTCGGGAATCTCAAACCGGGTTGGACCGCACTGGCATTGGTGCGAGTCCCACGAGTTGTAGTACGGGTTGTGCTTGATGACGAGGACCCACGGTGTCTTCTTGCGGTCGACCGCCGCCAAGTCGGTTTCGAGCCATTGGAGCTGCAAGTTGCGTTCGTTGAGCCAAAACGGCGTCCCCACAGCGCTCTTGTCGTCGCCGCGGGTGCCGGTATAGTCATCAACAAAGACAGCGTGGACGTGGCCAATGTCAATCGAGTAGTACGTGCGAAGCTTGGCGTTCTGCGCCGCCGAGACGGGGTTGTTGGCGCGGTGGATGTACCCGAGGTAGTTTTCAGAGACGTACTTAACGTCGTTGGGCTTGGTGGGCCCGCCCCCCTTGATCGTCTCGTGGTTGCCGCTGATGCCGAGCGTCGGGATCGACGAAAAGACGGGCTGCGCGGCTTGGTACCACGCGTCCCAGTGCTCGTGCTTGCCGTTGGCGTACGCGTAGTCGCCTGCGATCAAGATACCGTGGGGTTTGGTGGCCGCAAGGTTTGCAAGTGTCTCGGTGATGTGGGGCACATCAATGTCGCCGACGATCCCCAACACCGTGGGCGCATCGCCACTGGTCGAACTCGGCGGAGTCACAAACGAGTTGTCAAAGACGAACCCACACCCCGCAGTCCCGGCTTCAATTGCATACGTGTACGTCGTGCCCGGCTGAAGGTTGCAGAGCCGCGCCGTGTGCAGAAACGGCGACGTGTAGTTGTACAATGTTGACGTGACATTGTACGAGTCGACCGTCGTCAGCACCGACTTTGGCGATGCACCGGTCGTCTCATATGACACCGAGAGCGGGCTGTTCACGTCACTCGCAAATGCAACAGAGACGCCGTTGGGGCAGTCGACGTTGGCGTTGGTGAGCCCAAGGTGCACTTGGTCGACGGCCGCCGTGACAAGCACCGCCGAGGCGAGAAGAGACGCGAGTGTGGGGAACATGGCAAAATGAAAAATGACCCTTGGATTGTGTGGTGAAGGATTAGGATTTTGAGTGACACTTTGGATTGTGTTTGTGTCGTACCGGATGGCGCTTACCACGAGCCTTTCAAACCGTAGGGGCTACATAGTAAAAGTAAGGTTCATCAGATAGCACATAGTCGGTCTGTACTCAATGAGGTCTGTACCACTGGCTGATCCCACCCACTTTAGGTCAAATTTCTGCTTGGATCGTACACATGTGCTCACGCATCAAGGTCGACGCTGTCGCAGTCCTCTGAGTAGCGGGTACAGGCGTAGTATTCTTGGCAACGATCCGTTGGGTGCAACAGTAGATTCAGAGCCATAGAGAGTGAGGATGAATGGAACCGAGTTTGCTGTTTGTCGCATCAAAACGTAGTCGAACGACGACTCCAGCATAAATGTGACGCCGGAACGGCCCAAGTTGCCGTTCGAGCTGGCATGCTCGCTTTTTCAACAGAGTCGCTGAATATGCGCGAGCGTCCTACTTGTAACCATAGCTACAAGGCCATCGCGTTTGTGCTTGTACAAGCAGTTTATACTTTTACGACGCATCGCAACAGCCCACTCGCCCAAGAACGTGACGTCAACAACACCTACGAAGGCTTACATTCGACAACGCCAGCCTTGGAACGAACACGCCCACTCGGTGCTGGTCGTAGATTCAAATTGTCTTGGCTCGGGTATCGACAAGACTGCGGATGCAGTCGCTTGGCGGCACAGCGGTTCACCATGTGATCTGTGATTGTGAATCTCCTCGCCTCCATCTGCTTGACCATCTGGTGCCCACGGCTTTTCAGCCGTACGTTTGAATTTATCCGGACACAACGTTTCATTCAGAAATACATCCGGATTCACGGCGAGGATGGATGAGCTATCAGTTGCGCGATGATCGCACTTCTGTTGATCAGTGTGATCGAGTAGTAGAACGGCACGAGAAGCATCGTACTGGAGCTGAGCGGTCGACGCCGTGTGCATTTTGAAAGCCTTGTGCGTGCATGTACCCTCCTCCGTGTCAGTAATCTTCAACCCATCGTCGTCCGTATCCTCGCGCTTCTTCCTTGGGGATCCGCGAGACGCCAACGACTTCAAGCTGCGTGATGCAGTAATGCGACTCAGATTCCTATGTAGAACAAATTCCCACCACCAAAATTCTACGTTGTTTTCGAGGTCATTCTTCAATTGACCGAATGCGGCACACGATCGCGTCGCTCCTCGCATCGGCGATGCTCGTCACGGCGGCCGTCGACCAAGTGCACCTTGGCCTTACCAACGCCAACGTCGACTGCCCCAACGGCGTCTCGGTCGCCTTTGCCAGCGACGTCCCAAGTGCAATCTCGGTTTCGTTGGCGACAGCCGGCGCGGCCGCCAAGACTGTTCAAACGACGATCGACACGTACAGCGTCAAATCGGCGCTGTACAACTACACATCGCCGTTTCTGCACACGGCGCGCTTCTGCAACCTCAAGGCGAGCACGACGTACACGTATGCCATTGACGCCGGCGCGGCCGGGTGCGGGTCCGCCTTTGACAACTCGTTTGGGATGCCGCCGAGCGCCGATGCGGCGGACACGCCGACTGTCCTCGGTATTATTGGCGACGTCGGATCCGACCACATTGACGACACTTTGCGCAACACGGCGACCGGGATCAACGGTACGGCGGCCCACGCCATTTTTGTTGTTGGCGACTTGGCCTATGCCAACGGCGAGCACGAGCAGTGGGACGCGTGGTACCGCCAAGCGCAACCAATGTTCGCTTCGATTCCGACGCTTGCGATCGGCGGCAACCACGAGACGACAAAAGGTGGTGGCGCCAAAAAGCCCAAGGACAAGAAGAAATTTCTGCCGGAGAACTACCTCGGGTACATTCCGCGCGTCAACAACCCGGTCTCGGCGGCGCAGAACGCCAAGCTGCGCACGTACTACTCGATGGATGTCGGACATGTCCACGCAGTCTTTGTCGATGACTACGCCGGGTACCGCGGTGGGGACAAGACGGTCGTCGGCAC